GGAATATAAATAAACTATTTTATTAAAATTTTTTATTTTATAAGATTATATAAAATTATAATACAGAAAAGGAAAGAGGAATGTATATAAAATATATGTAAGTAGTTACAATATAAAAATAGTGAAACTGAAATATTTTACTGTAATTTACTTGGAAAGATAAATTGAAACAATCATAAATAAATGAAAATGATTACGACTATCGCAATAGCAAATATTCTACTACGACTATAACACATCGACATCCACATCCACATCCATATCCACTTTATACAGATTATATATTCTGATGAATCGGAACCCATATCATTAAAGACAAATTCACTCAAAACCACTAAATATTACACATTCCTCACATTCACGAGTATGAAAATCATCATCAAATAAAACTCTCGTCTTCATTTTATGTCTGGATAGTATCCGAATTTGATCAACTGCCACAAAATTTCACAGAAATTACTCGCAACTCTCAAAAACACACATGTACAACTATTTTAATATTTAATTCTCTTAATGAGTCAACACATGAATTTTAAATAATTATTTATTTTTATTTATCAGTCAATGCGCATGAAGAGGCGGGATCACATTGATAAAAATATATCTAAAAGTAAACTTGTAAACCTCACCAATTCAACATTATTTTTTAAAGAAAATTGGATAATCACTAATTTGAGAAACTAAAATCGAAAATCGAAAATCGAAATATATTGCAAATATACACTGAGAGATATTATTGTGTTTATTAAACTTTATTTAACTCTATTTAACTCTACTCTATTGGATAAATGGATGGTGTCCCTCCTACCCTCTTCCCCTTTACCCCTCTACCCCACCACTGCATTTCGGGATACATATATAAAAGAAACTTAATATAATAATATGGGTAACTAATCAAAAATAATTTACTCTCATATTTCAACATTAAACTCTATTATTTTATATGTGTAGATGCAGCTGTATTTTTTACTATACGGCAAAGTTAGTTCTGCAAAAATTAATTGGATGCTACAAATACTGAAAAGACAACGGTCCGTCAAATTTCTGTACTTAACATATAAATTATTGGTATGATGTGTTTCAAGAGTATTTGGAATTTACACTGAGTGTTGTGTGAGATTTATGTTAAATGTAAACGTTAAATAAGATTCACAAGTAAATCTTAATGAACGAAACGGGAGCATTGAATCCTGAAACCCCAAAAAATCAGAAATCGTACAATCCTGTAATAATGGACTAATATTACTAACTAGTACAACTGAAAATTATAATATAAAATAAAAAAAATATCTTATAAGTACTTTCGCAATTCACAACGGAAAGGATTTACCATATATAATACCATTTAATTTTGAATTTGAAATATTCAAACATCATCAGTTTGAGTACTGTTTCAATTAATAAGTTTATATTTGTTCGAATTAATTGTTGGTAAATATCAAAACTTTCATGTCGTGAACATTTTATAAACTTATTTGTCTTATTTAATAGCTTTTGAACTTTTAACCATAACCATTATGGTAATTCAATCAACCATAATGGATCAATTTTGGGTGTGTGAGCCATAAAATAGTACTTCCTGTGACTGTGGAAACGATGATATGTGGTCCATGTTCAATATGAAACTTATTAATACATACATATTTTATGAAATGAGGTATATTTTGAATTTGTTATTCAATATCGTTTTTAAAAAGAAAACCTTATTTTTGCAGATCTATTTGTACAGCTTTCACATAACGATTCGAAATAACAAACATCTGACCAAATCTATATGAATGTTTTGGAACTAATCTGACTAGTGATTACATCTGGTGTGAAGCAGTGCTTCTATGCTGAGCTATCGATTCTTTAGTTGTGGAATGCTCACTAAGCACCACTGTGATTGTTTTCTGCATTTATGGAGTATTCAATTAGACATCATAACTACTTCAATGATTCATTATTTACGATTGAATTACTTTAGTTTTTTAATGTTTTATTATAGAAAAGAAATATACCGAAAGATTTCTGACATCGTTTCAATGAAATTTCAAAGTAATTATGATTAATTTGGCAGCAGTGAACTCTTTATGGCTGTATGTGTGAGTATGTTTTCTCGATTATTAAAGTGCGTTTGTTTCTGATGGCTGGGTTTGAGCCTTTACTTTATGTTATATATACATATAATTAATTAAGATTATATTTAATTTGAATGTGACTATGACGATGACAAAGGTTTCCAAAACATCAAATTCTAATTATGTTAAATTTAGTAATTGATGTCAATTTTTACAATATTGATGTAATTACAATATTGATATATGTTTTAGTCAATAATTATAATTAGTTTTTATATATAGAAGTCTTATTTTGATGTATTTTACAACAAATAAGCATTGCTTTCCTATAAATTTTTTTGTAGTTTTATTATTTGTTCAGATTAACGAAATTTTTTTATGTATTTTTTTATGTTAATTTTTTTAATTAAAGTATATAGTTTTAAAATAATTTTTTTTTGTATTAGTTATTGCACTTCTGATAAAAGATTCGTTTATAGCTATACTTTTATATTCATAGGGAATAAAAATCTAACAACAACTATTAGAAGTTATTTAGTTTACACGTATAGCTCTGGTTTGTGTTTTTGTTCTAATATAATATAAGATATAATTAGATTTGTTGGTAAAAAAACAACAACAAATTGACGAAATTTTAAAGCAAATCAAGTACGGCTTTGAATCTGGTGTCTAAAATGTTTCGCATATGACACGGTTAAACCTCAACTTTTTATACTTACAGTTTTCAAATTACACACTTACAATTAATACCAAAAAATATTTCCAGAGACCAATAATGAAACAGCTATATGGCCAGCCATAAAAAGGTTATGGCTAAAAATAAATAGAATTTTTATTGTGTATGATTTGTATACATAAATAGTTTCGATGAAATAGATAGCGGAATTGCGATTAAACCCCTTCATTAACTAAAATTCACTTTGCCGGCAATAAAATTTAATTTTTCTGACTAAAATAGCTTCTAATTTACCCTACCCTATTGACTTATGACTTTATTGTATTAACATATTATGTTGATGCTATTTGAGCCAGTGCACTTGAGCACTTTTTCTCTCTATTAACTCGTGGTATCTTCAAAACCCCACTTTACGCCTTGACTGGATTATTGTTTATCACTTCATCCGACTAAGCAATAATTGACCTCAGATCTGCATACCTCTCCGCGGAGCCTGTATTCATTATGAAGATCTTTCATCATGTGATTCTTGATATAAATACGAAGAAAAATCAACATTGGAGATACGTGATCATCAAGAGCATTAAATGCAACGATTATTGTTACATGAAAACCATGTTGGCTTGGTCTATATTATCCCTCTTCTTCCATAATAATTTTTTTCCTGCTTAAAACTACAAAGAAAGTTGCAAATAATACTGTCAACGACTATCGATCAATGTAAGAATATTAATGATCAAGTTTTTGCTGAAATAAGATTCACTCAATTAAGGATCTCATAGATATTATCAGAAACTTTTTTAGAAGCAACCCTCAAATATAAAACTCTATTATACAGGAGCTGGTCTCGTTTAGTTCTATTAAATTAGAATTACTTTGAGTTTCAAATAAAATTTAGAAGTTTTTAGAAATCGTTTCAAAATTTACTGTTTAAAAATTGACTTTTGTACTTTGAGATCTTTTAGAAAAAAAGATTTTGTTACAATTCCATGTAAGACAGAACTTTTGTATTGCAATCGTAAAAAACTGAGATTTTTCTGGTCAAATAGATAAGTTTGCTATTAATCTGTTTTCTGGTTTCTATGCTACAGTTGTGATATATCCTGTATTAATTGACAAACCCTTACATACTCTACATTTGCAGAGCAAAGGGGAAAAACCCTTTTGTGCTTTTGTTTAATAGTTTTTTATTTAAAAATAATTTTTAATACTTTTTGCTCTGCGTTTTGAAAAACAGACTCAACTCTTGCTTTCGTGTTGTTGTTGCTGAGTCAGAAATTCTAATTTGAAAAGTTTTTACTTAAGTAGGACAGCACTAGTAATATTGTGCGCAAAAATTAATTTTGTAGTATGATTAACATATGGCAAAAGTTTTACTATATCCAGGAGCATCCTTGCACTTCATAGACGAAAAGAGCATGTAGTGCTTCTTGTGTAAGCTATGGTTCACTTTTAGAGTTTTTTTTTGCTATACTATGTCCAATAAAGTAGGCTGAATAAAAATGAAAAATTCACTCTGTTTAAGTGGAGCTACAAATTTTAATTAAAATTAAAATTTAATATAATTAGTTCTTTAGAAAATATTATGTCGGTAACATCTTCGGTGACCTCTTCTGTGTGATTTCGCTTCATGGTATGTTGTGATTGTTCGAAAATGGAAATTGCTTAATATACACACTTATAAATCCCCAAACTGTTTCTAATAATTTAACTTTAGTTTATTAATGTTCAAATTTATTTAGACAAGTGTTGAAGAATAAGAAGAATATTGCATAAAAAAACGATTAGATTGAAAAAGCAATTACTTTCGCTTCAAGTAATCACTTAAAAAAAGGAATTCCGATTCGACTGCAGCTATAAGCTATACTTTAGGCAGTTCTTAACAGAATTACACTAATCATTGAAACTAAAAAAATTGTTATCTACACAACGATTTGAGTCTCGTAGTAGGCACTCAACAATAGACCAAGACTGTACAATTACAGCTGAAATCAAGAAATCTTTTGAAGAAAAAAAAATGTATTCAGAAATATCTCTAAATGTAGCACGACGCTTCGAAAGAGTATAGCATTAAGATTTGATTCACAAATTAAAAGCTTGACTTTCAATTGAATACCGCAACTTATTGGAAGTATATGTTATATACAATCCAGAACCTTATATGTAAAGCAAGGGTATGAATACTTTAATATTTAAAAAATTTGCCTGCAGTAACAAACAGTGTGTTGACTACAGAGAAAAATGTCTTAAAATAATTACAAACTGCAATTCATGCTGTTGTACAATGGATCAATAAATGGTGGATCAGAATCAATAGCAAATAAAAAACAAAGAGAAAACTTTCCTGTTACCATCATGGACGAACGCGTTACTTATGACAAATAGAAATAAGAGCGAAAAAACAACAATCTTTAATTCGGTAAACTGGATTGACTCATTGGATGGAAATTAAAATATATTATATATATATAAACGGATTTTAAAACCGATGTGACGTTATGAAACACAGCTTTGAGAATTCGCTAGTGAGGATTGAGGATTGAGTTATCATTAAAGCATCATGGTACACTCAATATACTGACTGTAAAACAGATAATCACGAAATAAGTTTTTTTCCCGATGTTTAAAATATTTCAGGTTTTTGAGCCTTATAAACACAATATGTCTATAAGCAGGACTTAAAAATTTTGAGGTAGTGAAGAAATGGAATTTCTCTATCAACACAGTTCATAGTTATAATTATTAAAATCTCCATTTAGTCTGCAGGTAATTTGATCTGTAAAATAATGATTGGTAGGACTTTTTTTTGTTCGCTAATCTGCTATGCTTTATTTTCATTCATTTTTGAATATAAGCCTATTGTCGTTTTACTCCAAGTTGTCTAGTAGTTCATTGTTACACAAACTGATTAGTGTCTGGTACTGCATTTATATAAGTCTTAATCTGTTAGACAGTTTTTTTGATTCATCTGCATTTTTAAATGAATAATTATGTTTTAAATAATGCACCTTATGATGCTACTCGGCCGTTCAGTTCTTAGCATTTTATTATGACGCTAAGATTTCTGAAACTTGATGGGAGTTAAATTTCTTCTTATCTTTCTTCTTTATAACATCATTGTTCAAATTTTTTCTTTTATCAGCATTTCTCACTATTATGATCTCTCTTCCTTAACTTGGTAATACTGTACTCACTTTTAATCTCAGGAAACTACTGATTCTCCTTGGCTAATCGCAATAACCACAAGAATATACTAAGTGACTTTTTCCATATTTACCAAACACATATTCTCAAACTATATTTCTTTTTAGTTCTATGTTATGTTCAGAACAGATTTTGAAATAAGTTAATTGGTGTGTATTTTGCTTATTTGTAACAGAGTCTATAAGAATTAATCATTAACTTCGCTTGAGGAATTAAATTTAGGTCATGCTCCTCTTCTATGTACTCTAGTTAGATGTTTTTTAACTACTGAGTTCTTTGTTTGTGATCATATATGTATACTGAGTTCAATTATGTTTCCTTCTAATTTCTATCTTGTTGTAAAGTAGCTTTATAATATTTAATAGATTCGTTTAAAATGCATACATAATTTATATAAACATGTATCTGGCTAGAATAAATGTTATTACAATACAACGCATATATTCTATATCCCAAGTAGTAGGTTTAAGGAGTAAATGTTTAAAAATATTAATTAATAGCTTATTACCAACTTATCTACTTACTTAACTACTAACTCTTATTCATCGGTTTGTTTACTTTCTACTACTATACTATGTTGAGGCTAGTTGAGTTGAGTCAGTGCACCTGAGCACTTTTACTCTCTATTAACTGCGAGGTTTCTACAAAACCCCTCTTTGTGCCTGGATTATTGTTTATCACTTCATTAGACTAAGCAATAATTGACCTCAGATCTGCATATCTCCCCGAGGAGCCTGTAACCATGCTGAGATTTGATAACAAGGTGTTAGTAAGTCTGTCAGATTTCACAAATAATTTCAGGGCTCTATCCTTTATGTATTTTTTGATGGGATCAATCTTGAGGTCCCTAAGGATGTCATTCGTCCTAATATACCAAGGAACTTTGAAAAGTCTTCTCAGAGCCTGGCTTTGTGCAATTTCTAACTGGTGAATAGTAGTGTTTGAAGCTTTGCTAAACGCTACACAACCATATAGAAGTGATGGACAAATTATTTGGTTATATATCAGTTTCCTATTTCTATAACTCTTAGAAAGTTATATTGAATTTCGTGAGCAAAGCAATGTTATA